GACCACCACTCGGGTAAACCCACCCATGTCAACGTGTCTGTGATCATGTCGGAGGCAGATGGCACTTGCTATTGAGCCTCCCTGCCCACCCTGCCCTTTCAATAAACACCATGCTCACCCACTACAGCCCACACTTCCATCTGGCGCCTGTCTGCCTGTCCATCCATCCTCCAGGTGTGCAGCACAGAGGGAAGGGCCAGGCCAGGAGGAAAGGACAAGCCCTGCCCTAGTTGCTGGGGCCCTGGGCTTCGATGTGTGCACCAGTGTGCATGTGCCTGAGAGTGAGTGTGCATGTATGTGTGCCATGGGCACTTGTGTGTGCCTGTGGGTGTGTGTGGGTGTGCTGTGCACATTTGTGTGTGCCTGTGCGTGTGAGTCTATGTGCATGCCTGTGAGCCTGTACCTGTGATGTATATGTGTACCTGTGTCTGTGAATGTGTATACATGGGCCTGTGAGTGTGCACGAGCCTGTGAGGGTGCAGTGCACAAGGGCTCAGGCCCAGCCCAGTGTGAAATCTGATATTGGCAGAGTCTCTGAAGTGGGCACAGGCCACAGGGGGCCCTGAGAGCAGTGCAGTCATGGGAAATGGCAGCTGGTAAAGTAGTGTGTATGACTGGGGTTGCCATGGCTTCAGCCAGGGAGGCCAACAAAGGGCAGACAGGAGCAGGAAACCCAGACAAGGTTGTGCCATTTGCAGGGGGTTGGAGGAGGGGGGCAAGATAATGAGAGCTGATTCCAGGGACAGCCCCCAGGGCAGGCACCTCCCCTCCCTGGGTCAGCTCTGGGCAGCAACACAGCTACATGGGATAGCCACTGAGTCAGGGGGCCACCTGGGTGGACATGGACCCCTGATAACACACTACTCATCACCTCCACAAGGGCACACGTGCACACATTCGTACACTCACACATGTCTGAGCCTTGCAGGTGCAGCAAGTGCACTGCCCACACCCAGCTCTAGGAAAGCAGGGGAGTCCCCTCCCAGCCCCCGGGGTTTCTCACGTCCAGCCTCACTATGCCCAGCCTCC